TAGCAAATTCGTGAAGGACGACCCGCTTGGGGTAAGCGGGGGGAGGGGGGGGGGGGGGTAGGCTTCACGAATTTGCAACGTCCCCTGTGACTGGTTAGGTTTAGGGGCGGGGTTGGGGAAATGTTTTCATTGTTTTCTATTGTTCTACACGTGTGTGCCCTCCAATAGGATCACATCTAGCAAATTCGTGAAGGACGACCCGCTTGGGGTAATGTGTTCCCATTTCATACCACGTGTCATTCTCCTGAGAATAAGATTCTTTGTTTGAGCTGCATATTAAATTGTCTTCTCGTGTGCAACTGAGCGCAAACCTTAAACAAAGAAATGATACTCTAGGGAATGACATGTGGTCTTAAATGGGAAAACATTACGTCAGAGCCGAAGAGGTCTATTGCAAAACGGTTGGTGAAGGCTTTGTTGCATGTTGCATACCATACCCGAAATTCACCATGAGCGATTGGAACCAATCAGTGAAAGGCCATAACAATATGGGATTTACCTCAACTTCGTTTGCGCGTCTTTGCGGTATAATGATAGTTTGCTGGTGTTTTTGGAATGTTTATTATAGCAACATCCATCATGGCATCCACAATAGAATGCATCTTTTTATATAGCCACAGAGAGTCACAGCGGCCATTATGGGGTACCAAAACAATGCATTTTCTMTCCTCCGGGAATTGAACTCTATTTTTATGCAAATACTGTGCAGAAAGTTTCTATTGTTTATGGCTGCCTTCTCACGTGAGTGAAAATGCTCTATTGAGTAAAATTGATGTTGTTAAAAGAAAAATATATATCTAAATTGTCTAACATACAGAACAATGAAGATGATGATTACCTGGACAATCCAAACGTCGACAACTAGTAACTGATTTTTGGTGTCCTGAAAAATCAAACGAATTTGATTGAAATCTAACAGTTTTGCAAGTTTGACATCTTTGCGGACCAGTTCGACCAGTTTGCTAACCCAAAACACGTTTATTGGTTAATAACAATGTCACATTTTACCAGTTCAACCAGTTTGCTAATCCTGACACGTTGATTGGCTGTACCGCATATGTCAAATCTTACCAGTTCAAGCATTTAGCTAAGCCTCACACGTTGATTGGCTTATCATAATTTGTCATTTCTTACCAGTTCAACCAGTTTGCTCAGCCTGAGCCCAAAAGACACGTTGAGAGGCTTGTTATGGTCTTTGACCGGACGTACTGTCTTATCATAGTCGCCACCTAACAGTTTGTCTCGAAGCTCCTTTTCAAATGTTCCTCGTGTGGCGTACACGTGACTAGCTGTTTTGACAAAAATAATTCATCGTATTTTTTTTTTCCTCAAACCTATCACTTAATCATCTTCCATCTGGGAGCAAATCGAGAGGTCAGGGAGGGGTAGGTGGGGCTGTATTTCTACCACATTCTCGTCTTACATGTTATATATCAATACTATGAGTGTGAGAGGGATTCAAAACACCGAGAAACTTGTGAAAGCACGAGAAGGTGCAGGATGATTTACAAATAACGACAGTGACTTCCCGTGGGAGTGGGGGTGTGGAGTAACTCCTCTTTAAAGTGCAAATGAACCCTTCGACAATAATTTCAGTACTGATTTTACATGAAGCAAATAGATGAATGGTTGAATATTTCTTGATTTGAGAGTTATGCGTCTTTAAGTTATCCCGTTGGGACTAAGAGTGCCCAATTAATGAACGCTTTGCTTTCAACTAACCCTTTCTTTTGTCTTTTGTTTGTTTGTTTTTGTTTCCTTGCCTACCTTGTTCTCATTTGTTTCTTTTGTCTTATTCTATCATATAAACACTCCTTAATTCTACCACCTCTTTCTCTTTTACTCCGACGAAGGACTAGCGTCCAAAACGTCAGTAAGTTTTTTCATCTTTTCACGGTGTAAAATTTACCCTTTTATCATTACTGTTTCATTAGAAACACCGACGCAGTTTACACTAGTTTTTAGYTGGTTATCTCTTTTATCTTATATGGTGTTGTTTGTACCGAATCTAGACTACGATGCATCCTGTTTATCGAACTCAGAAAAGGCCTATTATAAGAAAACAAAAATAACCTTCACCACGAGTAATGATGTTTTTTTAAATATTGTTTGTGTAAACCAGTCTAATTGAATTTTGTATATTTAATGAAGCCTCAATGGAAGTCACAGTCATTAACGTACTGGAAGTATATACCTTCATAACGTAAAGACGTCATTAACCCACGTACAGCGAAACTCTTGAGATAATTATAACTTTCGTTTGAGAGATTACCATGTGTGAAGGAAATTGCTTTCTCGCCTGGGAGCAGTCTTCGTTAATCATATATTCTTTATCTTCCTTTTAAATATCGATCAATTAACTTGAATTTAAAATATAAAATCGAAAATATAACTAGCATGTGAAAAACACTTGATTAAAGAATATTTTTTTCGTCCTTATTCTTTTGTAATCAAAGAAATAAGTTTTCCGTATTGTGTCACAAATTTAAACTACAATTTATATTGAACGAGACCGGCCGGTATTGATTTAAAAAAACAATTGAAAAAAGCTTTAGTAGTGCTAGGGTCACGTAATATAATGTTGGCCTTGCTTCTCTGAGATAACTGAAGTTACTTTTTTCTCAAACTTTTCAAAAACCTTGATAAACAAATTTTTGTAAGTTCGATACGGTTAAAAGCGTTTTGTATTTATTTATGAACTATAAATTTATATGCCTTGGTTACGTGTAGATACGCTTGAACTTGCTCAAAATGAAAACATTGCTTCTTTTAGTTTTTATTCAAGATTTTAAATTACTAAGTTATTAGAAATGAACTTTTTAAGCTGAGAAAACAGCAAAATACATGAGATCTAAAGCTCAAATAAGGCATTTATCAGAAATTTGTTGTTGATAATATGCATAACTTACCTTCGTATACCAATGTTAGTAAATAGAGACTTAAAATCAACTTCATTTTGGACATAGAAACTATACGTCTACCGATCAAAATTTGATTGCTGTTACGATAATTGTTTATCGAGTTTCTGGCTTGTTTAGGGCGTAGCAAATGTAAGCTGTACTCACTTAGTATTTCAGTTTATGGCGTGGTAGTTGACGTGTGATTGTATGATGGTAATGACAATGATATTTACATCATGTGGTCTCGTTAAGCACTCTCTTTATGCATCAGTGAGCTCTGATCATCCAAATGAAGACTGAGGTGATGGAAAGATTAGATATTCAGCATCGTAGACTGTCATTAGCGTAAGAAGGATTTACGGGTGTAATAATGTTTTCAAGCGTTTTTGTTACCCTATTTTTTTGTTGGATTATTTCTGGAACAAGTCGAAAATCAATGAAAAACAATTTTTTTTTGTTCCACTCGCGGCATTTGCGGGTAAAATGAAAGCTCAAAAAATCTGTGAGACCAAAAGTCTTTCTTGGTTTAAATTAGTATTTCAAACTCAAAGCGCAGGTTGAACCTTTCTGGCCAAGCTATGAGACTTTCGTTACGTGCACCGCTCTAAATACCCAACCCGGAAATTATGAAGAATACAGCTACAACTAAATCATGCTTCATGCACCCTTATATATATATATATAACGTTATGACTGGCAAATAGAGAAGTTTTTGCCTGACTGTGAAAAGCTCACGGCACTAACACGTTCTTGGTACGGCTAGGGATACGCCAGACCAATCACATTGCGTGAGAATTTATTCTCCGTCCAATCCGATGCCCTACGAGATAAAAACACGGCGCGAAGACCAATCACACTGCGCCAGTAAATAATCCACCAATCAAAATTCTAGAAAGTATCAGGGGCTCAGAAAGGCACACATACGGCACCGACTTTTTCACAGTCATACGAAAACTGCTTTAAGAGAAAATTCATGAATACGACAGGAAGCGATATTGACACCTGACGTCACTGTGACGTCACAAAACGCCTTGAAAATAAACATTTAATGTTTAGACTTCCCAACTGGCTTTTTACTTAAACGGTCTTATACTTAGGATTACAAATATAGTTAAAATCCAATATGTTACGAAGATGAGTCGGATATCCAGTCATGAAGCACATGATGGATGGCTCATTGGACATGCAATAGCGTTATTAATCATACTTTGCGTTTCGAATTCCCTATAAGCTTTAATTAGACTTGATCAAATCCGACCTCTCTGAGACCCACATAGTCACGAGCGAAGCAAGTGGGGGGAAACAAACTCAAGGTCAACCAATAAGAACTGAGGATTCAACATATTTTGATTAGCATTTCCCATGATTCTGTCAAGAGAACCTATAAAATACGAATTCTCGATCTTCATACTTTGAATTCGTCGGCTAGTCGAGCTCATGCATGGTGGAATTCCATATCATTCAACAATACAAATCTACATTGTACTCAGTCCCTGCTAAAGTCCAACCCAAAATAGTTGACCCATAATTCCTTTCGGAGGAATGCTGTCAACTCAGCTAAAATAGAGGTTTTGCACCATCACGTGCCGGCGTCATAATCCAGCTTGGACTGCCTTTGGTTAGATGGCAGAACAATAAAATCCCTTTGCTCTCGGGAATTGAAGTTCTTTCTCATGTAAAACGATTGCATTGTTCCTGCCATCGAACATGGCTGCCGTCACATTGTATTGTATAAAACGGTCTGAACCTAGGTGAATGAATGTTAATCGAAGTATTATGATCATCCGGGTGGATGTAGTCCTGAGAAGGACTGTTTGATGTGACTGACGTTTCGACAACCTGAGCCGAAGTCATCTTCAGAGTCAAGTAAAGAATAAAGTCAGATTGGTCATATTTATACTGCCACGATAACAATAGCCTAATTACCTGGATTTGCGTAATTGGCGGCGTCGGTCTAATGAGTGCGAGTGGCTGAATGAGTGGCTGCCGTCACGTGATGGTGCAAAACCTCTATTCACTGCGGTGTGATCCTGGTTGGGCTAATGCGAAGGCCTTTGCAAAAGTCTACGCGACTATCTGTGGTTTGTAAACCACCCTTATCTTGGGTTGAACCGAGGAATGATCTTGTGATCATGATCAACTAGTAAAAGCAAAAGATTTACAAACCATGCATAAACTTGTCTAGTAAAATCAACCCCCAAAAAGATAACCCTAAGATGTACTATCATCTTACTTATAATTATATATWTTTTTAATCGATTTAGTCATTGTTTGGAGAAAATTTCAAAAGAAAAATTGTCAGATGAATTTTTATAGCAGCCGAAAAAGCATAAGTACTCGGGAGTTCCCATCATGTTTTGTGCCAGAGATTCGTGCTCGTGCACATTGGCTCAGATAAATGTATGAGTAGAGGAGTAGCACGAGAAGGTCAAGACATTATTTCCCCTCCCTCCCCTCCCTAAACAATGACTGATCCTGAGTCAATAAATTCTAGCTCTTACACTTGTTTCATGCAGATGTACGGCAACGCCGTGTATAGACAATGATTGACGTCCATCCTGCCTTCATCCCAGGCCCTCACTGACACACAGTCTTGGACGTCGTTTGCTATTTGGCCTGGGGCGAGGTTAATGTAGCTTGCAACTTGAGAGTCATCTATCATGTATCGTCCTTCAGTGTTGATGTCATTTAGACCGATCCAGGCGCTGTTGCCCATGTAAAAAGAATCTGAAATAATATGCATAAAATGAGAATCGATCATTTAGATACGCAATTAGATTGAAAATGCTGCAAGAATTTGAACGAATGTACAGAGAAGTCTTTAGTTAAACCACTTAAACTACAAGGCATTTTTCGGTGCTAGTAAGCTGGTCAACTTGTCTTCAAAAATAAGCAAATATTTTCGCATAACTTTGAACAATAATAACGAATTGTTTTCAGTTCTTAATTTGCACGTTAGACATGATCGCCGCGCCATATTGGTGGTATTTAATAAAAGATCTCAAGTTAGTCTCCAACATGGCTTTAGATTCCTCTCTTAGAAATATGATTGCAAACCATCCATAAGTACCTCTTATGATTTCCACTTCTTTGCTTGAGAGGACTCGATCAAACAAGTATAACTGGCTGAGGCTGCCTTCGATTGCGCTTTTGCCGTCCCTTTTCAGTCCCACATCGAATGTAGAAGAGAGATATCCTGGGGTAATTTTTGAGTAGTTCTCGTTGTATTCTTCTTTATATACTTTATTCCCATTCACGTAGAGAAAGGCTGTAGCGTTGGCCCGGTCCCATACTGCCGTGTAGTGGACCCATCTATCGAAGTAGGTAGGGACTCTAAAATGAGTATGAAATAGAAATGATAATGATGCTATACCCCTTGTATTAATTCCAAATCCGTGGGTCAAAAACAGAAGACTTAAATATTCCCATCCCCATCACCCTTGGATCCCCTATCCTCGAGGTGCTATCCTCACTCCCCATCTCCATCCCTTATTTTACATCTCCCATTCCCCATGATCCCCTTTCCGCTATTTCCCATATCCTACCCCATGCTCCATTCCCCATCCGCTGTCCCCCAATCCCTACCCATATTATGCTCAATACTCCATCCTCCATATCATGTCCCATCCACTGTCACCCAATCCCTACCCATATCATGCCCAATGCTCCATCCTCCATATCATGACCCATTCCCCACCCGCCACCCGCCATCTGTCATCCCTCTTCTCTATACCATTCCCGCCTTTAGTGAAATACGATCATTTTGTCAGAAACTTACTTCAATTTTACGTCCTTTCTGCCATGTTCAGTAATAACGTACATGATAAAACCATAATCATTCCCACTTGACCAAACCACAACTGCAAAGTGATGCGGCCCTCCCCAACGAGAGTAAACGAAGCCACCTTTTGTAAGTTTGGCCCAGAAAGACACAGTGAAGCTAGTACCACGAATATCGTACGATGGGGTTTCAGCGTGTGAGACGGTGGTTGAAGGGAGATGAAGGACATCCGTCATTCCGTCAATATCTTTTTCAAATCTTGCTTGTCCATAGAGCCTAACAGAGAAATGTACGTCATTTAGTTGTGCTGTCTTCTCCATCGCTGTACACGAATAATGATGGATTTGAAGATCAGCCGCTTACAAAAATCTTTGAACCTCATTTTATTGATCCAAATGATGGTTAAAAACCCTAACAACCTTATATCAGCGATAAATGTCTCTAGAGATAAATGGTGAGGAAAGAGCGACACAATCTTGCTAGTACTGTAATATACAATTGTTTTCACTTACTTTAGACCCTTATCAGTACCATCAAGTTTCCAATGTCCAACGGGACGGATACTCAAAGGCAACTTCTTCCCTGCTACGTAAAAAATTGTGCAACAATAAACTATTAAAGTAGAGTATGCATATCACTACATGACGTTGCGAGTTTGAGAAATGCAGGGAAAGTGCGCAAGGGCGTTTTGCGGGGAATTTTTGACTGTCTAGGGAAGGGGCGGGGGTCCAGATGTCAATAGACCTCTTTAATAACTAGGGCGTAATGTTTTTCCATTTCAGACCACGTGTCATTCCCTAGAGAATGTTTTTTGTTTGTTTCATGAATTGTACCCATATTCATGTGTCTTTTCATGTGCAACCTTTAAACAAAGAAACGATACTCTTGGGACTAATGGTCTGTGGGAAAACATTACGCCCAGGCTAATGAAGTCTATTTTCGGTTAAAGTTTCGCTTATTTCTCGGTCACCAGCGAAATTTCAGGCTTTTTTGTCAGTTGTTAGTAATTAATTTTAAGGCATTTGTCAGTCAGCCAATCCCCATCCAGAACCTCGCCTAGACTTGAGAGAAAGAAATGGCATGAAATCAGTCAGAGAGCTCTCGTAGTTACCTGTTCTTTGCTTGTCTAGCAGAAGAGTTATAAACTGGTTTTCATCTTCGTTCTTTATTTGTGCAATGGCCGCTCCTTTGTCTGTGCAAGCAGCGACAGCCTTGTGCCAGTCAAGATGTTCGGGAAACAACTTGAAGGCAGTTGATCCTAGTTGATACCAACCATCTGGTAATACTATAAAAAGATTTAAAGCCGTGAAATCTTTATTATGATTAATAGGACTTCTTTTAGTTTAGTTTTGAAAGAGAAAATGAATATTTTTACAGACACTAAGCAAGACATCAGTTTTCTAATTACTATTACTTATCGTATGAAAACATGATAAAGAACGATCAATTAGCTATATAAAAATATCGATATAAGATTTCAGCAAGCTACCATCACGCACAAGTTTAGATAATGGTATGTATTGAATTCACAAGTAAACCTCTTAGATCCTTCCATTAGCATATACACCTATGGTTACGCCCTACACACTCTTTACCCCTTTGCTCAGTTATTTTAGCACTATTCTTTTGAAACTTATATGATAGAAATATTCTCGTAGCCTTTTCTATAAATTTATAATATATTCATATATTAACTTTAGTTTAAGCTATGTTTGATCCAAGATTTTCACTCGTCATTGATGTTACTTGTTATTAAGCCAATCATGATTCAACGATATTATCACATTGATTAGAGACTGACACCTGTCATAGAATTATTATAAATAGAGCTCACGTACATAATTAGTTCAACACAGAGAACAGAGAGTAGAATAAAGATCCCGGAGCTCACACCGAGAGCGGTCGTCMCATAACATTAGGGACGCCAGTTATGCGAGTTGAGTGTAGTTGTGCATAGAACATTGAATGTAGTGGTAGTGTGTGTTAGTGAAAAGTGTCCCCAATTAGTGCGAAGGCGCTAGAAGGACTATGGACATTTAAACAAAGAGATTTATTATTATTTTAAATCAAGGTTGGCATAGAAGTGTTATGGGATGGACCGCTCTCGGTAGAGCTACTCGGGATCTTTATTCCACTTTCTCTTCACTCTATACTCTATCTCTACTCTTCTGACTTAAACTAATTACATGAGCTCTATTTATAATAACTTCATGACAKGTGTCATTCTACAATCARTATRATATTATCGCTGTGCCTTGATTGGCTAATGGAAATAGTAAATTCCTGAGTGTGATATCTTATTAAGAATAATACGAGTGAAAATCATAGAACTAAACATAACTTAAACCAAGGATAATATGTGAATATATGGTAAATGTATAGAAAGGTCTACGAGGAATATATGTATCATAAGATTTAAAAGAATAGTGCTAAAATRACTRRGCAAAGGGGTAAAGAGTGTGTAGGGCGTAACCATAGGTGTACATGCTAATGGGAGGAGCTAAGTAGTTTACTTGTAAATTCAAAGCATACCATYATCTAARCTYGTGCGTGATGGCAGCCTTACTGAAATCTTATATCGATATTTTCAATAACTAATTGATCGTTCTTTATCTTGTTTTCATACGATAAGAAATAGTAATTAAAAAACTTATGTCTAGCTTAGTCTGTAAAAACATTAATTTTCTCTCTCATAACAGAAGTAGTTCATTCGCTCTTACTGATGGCCACGCGGGTCTCGGGTTTGATTTCTCATATTGGGTCTAGCACTATCTCCCTCCATTCGATAATTTTTGTTTTTCGGTTCTACAATTTTCTTCCTTTCGCAAAACCAGTTAAGACGGTAATCAGTAAATTCCATCTCAAATTGAACTTTAGCATTGTGCAATCTGTGAGTTATTCGTGTCCTGACTGAGAATCAAAGACCCATTGCCACTTACCGTGATGCATTACAATTTGTTTATATTTTGAATCGTGTCACCACTGAAAAAACAATTCCAACCTTTTGAATTAACTCTTAAAGGAATGTAAAAGAATCATTTTTGTGCCTTAGTGCTATATCGGAAAAGGATTTAATATGAAGTTATTATTCAATATGTGAATCTTTGAATTTCATGGACCACGAAATTCATCTGTGACCGCGGTGCATCACGGTAAGTGGCAATGAGTCTTTAAGTCCAGAGGTTGTCTCAGGGATCGATAAAATTTGAAGGTTGAAGGACGCAGACATACTTATTAAGAAAAAGTACGATTTMTCGTCATCTTTCACTATATTTTGGTAACCTTTACCCCCATCATGATGCGAATAAAGATGCGTGTACGTGTTGAATCGGTTATCTCATGCTTCGAGTCGAGTTAACTTAATTAACTTTCTCAGCATCCCTCCTCCCATCTTCTTGTGGCATCTCAATTTAAATACAATTAATTTTTAAATAAGTCACGTATTCATTAAAAAACTTTTGAAAGAAAGTAAAAAACATTTGCCCGACTAATATAAATAAATAAAGACTGAAATAGGTAGGATTTAGCAGTGGCATTTCCACAAAGTGGCTCTTCATCCACTGTAATTCCAATTGGAATTTAGAAGTTGATTTTTGCGGAGGGAGGAAAACCGGAGAACCCGGGAGAAAAACCCTCGAAGCACAGGAGAGAACCAACAAACAACTCTACTCACATATACGACACCGAGCACGGCGGGACTCGAACCCCGGGTCGCATATTATAAATATTTTCAAACAGAAAGATTTGAATAGATTACTAAATGAATTATATTATACACCATACTGACCTTTCTTGTATCTTTTAGGGGTGCATTCTTTTTGGTCGGTAGAGCAGGTTTGTGTATACTAAAACATGAAACATAAGTAATTAATATGTTGTCAGTACATCTAAGCTATTTGTTAAAAATTCAGTTTTAGCTGAAGAAAATTAAGTGGAAATTTCAGCATGACTTGTAAATCTTCGATTTTTTGGTGCGGACTATATTTTACGATAAAGTCGCTACTTTCTGCTTTCTGAAAAAGTGCATCAACTGAATCCCGAAATTTTTTCACGTAAATAATATACTAGCCTTACAAARCTGATTTCGCGATGAGAAAGTTTCACGAAAATCTAAAATATAAGTTTTGTGTCCGAAAAACGTTTTGGCAACAGCCGTGAACTGAAAGTTTTTATTCTAGCCTTCCGAAACCTTCGCAAAGAGAAAGTTCCCTGAAAAGGAAGTATACACTTGAAATTGTGTCTCGAGGGCAATGTTAGGTAGTGTGCTATAGTTTAGTTTATTTAAACATGTATTATTCCACATGCAAACTTTGTGAAACTTTCTTGGCGCTAAAAATTCACTAAAAAGTAGAACTCTTTTTTACGCGCACAACATAAGCCTGTTTTAGCTAGCCACTGATTTATTGCCGTGTAACGGCGCCTTTGGGCAAAACTTTCATAGCTTGGCGAAGCACAAGCTTCAATCAAATAAGTTTCAGCGTGTAACAATTAAAATCAAATCAAAAATATATGGACTATAGACAGTATTTCTCAGCAGTTTTTGCAGAGTTAATTTCATTACAAACTTTGTGTACGGTAATCATGTTGTTTGAGATTACGATGCAGAATTACTAAAGACGTTTCTCGCTCAGTGATGGACATGTTTCTTTTAATAACTTTTGACTGGAGACAAATAACAAGGCAGTTTTAAAAGCGCCCCCCAACCCGGCGGTTGACACTGACTAAGTCTTGTTTTTATCGTCGGCCTGCCTTTACGTGCGTAATAAATAATGCATTACCTACAATAACATGCAATCATTTTCGTTCAAATCGAATTTCATATAAGATTCACGATTATTGTTATCCACGATCACTGACTCAGGAACGTCAGGAAAAGTCATCTGCAGTCTTGATAGTTTTAGGGAATCAAGGGGTTGTGGCGTAGTGCGCTCGCCTCTCACTTCATGTGTTTTTTCGGATTTGATTCCCGACCAAAGTTTGTCAAAGTCTCTTCCTTGATTTGATTTTGTTTTCTCCGGGTTCTCCGCCAGTTCTCCGCAAAGTCTAACGAGCTTTACATCGATTCGATCTGGGAATTAGCCTTGCCCTGATACGATCTCAGTTCAGCCAAGAGGTTTTTTCACAGTCCGATAAAAGTAATCACAAAATGAAAGCCCATTTACAGAAAGTAACTTGTTTTTTATAGCCGTAACATCTGGGGGGAGGAATTGCGTGGATGAAAGGGTTTTCAAAGATCAAAACTATAACTGAGTTGCACAACACAACAACATTTTACCTCAAATTCATAGTTTTCTCCTCTAGTATTGAACCGAATGCAGTCATTCTTATAGGTTGCGTCTCTTGAGCCCTTCACCAATTCACAAGTCGTTGAACCACCTGCATTTTTGAAGATGTTGACTGAAAAAYATTTCGCAGTTTCTGCGCAAGTTTTTCTGCATGTTTGAGGATCGGTATTTAGAGTTTTCATGATCCCGCATCGGATCCTGCGGCCTATATGGCGCTGGTAAGCGGTACTGTACTTGTTGTAAGCATGCGTACCAGTAGCGAAGAAAAACAGGAAAGCCGAAAAAAGACGAAGATACGAAGCTGATACATTCATCTTTTTTTCGTGAGCCGTGACCTCTCCACTCCGGTGAAAGTTCTCCGTCACCGAGTTTAAGAACTAATAAACTAGTAAGCTTTCTTTGTTATATACTATTACTTGCTTAAGTTGTTTTGAAAACCGTCTTTTTAATAATTGAAGAGTGACACAAAAGAAGAAAAAGTCTCTATGATATTTACGTAGAAGATTCTAGAACTGCTTGATCAACACTTACTCCCATGCAGCAGCTAACTTCATCTTAATTCTTCGTGGATAACGAGAAAAACATAACTATATCACTTCCTTAGCTATGAGGCACATAGCACAACATACCACTTAAAGTGCTTTTGAAGCGAAAATGAGCCCTCTTTTTTAAATCATATAATTAATCTTTAACACTTCCTTAGTAAGTTTGTGCAGTTTGAAAGGAATTTGACCACGGGAATTTTTTTTTTTTTTTTTTTTTTTTTTTTTTTTGTTTTTTTTTGCGCTTTGAAATCCGGTAATATGGCTAAAATTGTGCGACAGAATTTCGCGCGGCCTAATAAGTATTATGCGTGACGTCAAGGGGTTTGATGTCACACTACTAGTACTAAGCATGTACTAAGTACTATTATTATATGACCGTGAATCTTAGAGCCTGGACACTAGCAAATCGAGCAATCTGATTGGATAGATCGCATCGCGGACTGGTCTAGATTCTCCGGTATTAACCGGTCCGATCGCATTTTAATCTTACGGCTAAAACATTTTGTCCTTTTCAATGAAAAGTGGTCATATAATAAAACTCTTATAAACCGAGCTTGGTCGGTCTGTACGGGATAATCTTGACCTCAGTCGGGTACCCGCTCGGTTAATAAGATCTAAGTACTAAGCAGATTCGAGCTAGCAATGCTTCATTTCACAATAAAAACTCAAGTAAATAATTTGTTGTTAACGAGTGTATGAAAATAATGAACCGATAATGACAAAAATCAATGCATCTTAGATTAATGAAAAGTTGCAGGCCATACAAAAACAATCGACTGTTGATGGTTTTATAATATGATCTTAATCCTTGAAAATGATCCTTAAAAATATAATCAAAAAATAATCAACCCAGAGGTTCAGGGGATCGATAAATGTTCGGAAAAATACTAGTAGCTGTTTATATAAAAAGCAAAAGGATTTTTATATTGACAAATCAGAAGTGACTTTGATTCATTTTTTGCATTATTTTTCATTTCATTTCTTTTCATTTACCGCTAAGCAGGGAATAATTGATCGAAATATAATCTAAGACAATCAAAAGCCTATCATTTAACTTGAAGTAGAGAGCTAGCTCAGTTATGAGTTATTTTGATTGGAAAAAAACGCCAACGAAGAATGCATGTAATTTTTTGTTCACTGACTGTGCACACTTGTCGACCATAGGACCTTTTTTGAAAAAACTCATTCATCATAAAATGTGCGTAAGTCACTGTGATTAAAAATGCAATAAATGCTAAATAAACAAATTAAAAAATGAATATAATGGATTTTTAAAATCATTTTATTAAATTTCACCAAAAAAGTTCCTCTTTTTGAACGTATGCAATTATATTATTACAAATTATGGAATATAAATAATTGTCCGATATTACATGTAGAGAATTCTAATGAGAATAATATGATCAAGAATATAAGTATAAATAAGTAATGAACAGACAATCGTGCCTAGTGCTTCTCTTGATTAGTGTCCAGATATATATCTGCAGCAAAGTTGCAGATCAATGTCCTCATTTGTCCTATAAGCAGTGGTTTTACGGAAGTCAGAGTGCACAAAATGAAACAAAGCCAAAAGATGTATTGTCTAATTGTAGCTATTTTGCTGATATTTTATAAATAATAGTTGATAACTAACGTCTTTAGTGTGTTACATGGTTAGAAATCGTTTTACGGATGTATGGTGGGCATTCTATTCCAAGACCTAGTATACTATAATTATGAATGATCAATTCTTATTGGATGAAAATCTGACGAAGACTGATAAAGGCATAAATAATGATACTAGTGTGAAGGTCCCTAAAATCACTATATTGAATCAGTTCATTAGGGTTAATCAGTTAGTGTAATTAATGTTCGAGTAGTAATTTACTAACAAACTTTTTCAGTAGAGTGAAGTCATTAAACCCGTGAAATAGATGCATATTAGACTAATATACACTTTAGTAGACCCTAATTCCATTGTTTTCTTTTGTGTCTTTTTGACTATTACACGTTGACTAGTATTTTTTATTTCACGGTTTAAATGCCTTCTCTCTACAGTAACTGTCATTAATATAAGTAGGAATCAACACACAGTAAAAACACACTAAAAAGATCCAAGCAAACAGAGAAACAGGTCGAGAATATTATTCTAGTAAAACACGACAAAAAAAGGTTGAGAAAAGCTATATTGAAATTGAGTTAGGTGTGTAAAAATTAAGAGACAGAAGGAAAAAAAAAAAAAAGAAAGAAAGAAAGAAAAAAGGAAAAGAAAAGAAATATGCTTATCAACCACTGTCGAGGGTCGAGGAAACAATAAAAAGTGCCTCACTTGAAATCTTGTCCAGTCCCGATAATGGAGGCTTTGAAATGACTTCTCATGCTCATTATTATTCGACTTGGAGTAGCTGGAACAAAATTAATTCAGTCCTAGGACTGAATTAATTTTGTTCCAGTTACTACAGACTGAATTCAGTCCTTTCACATGACTTTACCAGGATTCAAGTAACATCATGTGACCCAAAAATAGCCCGTTGATTGGTTGGTTTCCTCATGCATTATTAATGAGTATGAGAAATGTCTTTATACTTGTTTCATGCAGATATACGGCAACGCCGTGTATAGACAATGATTGACGTCCATCCTGCCTTCATCCCAGGCTCTCATTGACACACAGTCTTGGACGTCGTTTGCTATTTGGCCTGGGGCGAGGTTAATGTAGCTCGCAACTCGAGAGTCATCTATCATGTATCGTCCTTCAGTGTTGATGTCATTTAGACCGATCCAGGCGCTGTTGCCCATGTAAGCGGCATCTGAAATAGAAATGCTGGTCAAAACACGAAGAAAGACAGACAGACAACTGAATGAGGCAGACAAATAGATGGACTGCAGTGGCGGATCCAGGGGAGGGGTGCAGGGGGTGCGCACCCCTTCCTGGTTCGACTTTGTGCCCCTATACTTCGAAGATAACCACAGAATAATGTTTTTCCCTTTGATTCTAAGGGGTGCACCCCTCCCTGGGTTAACTTTGTGCGCAGCACCTCTCCCTGAATAAATTCCTGGATCCGCCACTGGACTGATAGCTAGATAATTCATAAGTATCACATAATACATGAAATAAAAGTTATTCTATTTTAGACGTCATTATTTGAGAAAATAACGATACTATCATGCATGCTTTGCAATTTAATATTTTTGGAATTACGTCATTAAGGTACTCGACCCAGTCTACCACAACATTATTGACGTAGACATAAAAGTAATAGAAAATTAATATTGCTCATGTGAAAACTACTCATCCGAAAAATAGTCATACAATTTTTTTTTTTTTTTTCAAATAAACCTAGAGATTTTCTTCACTATTTTCGCAATTTAAAACCTGCCTTCTTTACCTCTTATTTTTTCTACTTCTTCACTTTCGAGCGCACGATCAAACAGGTACATCTGGCTCAGGCTGCCATTCATACGGTAATTGACACCCCTGTAGTACCCGATATCGAATGCTGGTGCAAGGGGTGGAAGGTTAGCTTTGGCAGCGGATGCTGAGCTGTAATCTACTCCTGTTGTTAGTTTGACCTCATGTAATTTGTTGGCATTGACGTATAGGGTGGCAGTGCCTGTGTTCCTGTTCCATACTGCAGTGTAGTGAGTCCATCTTTTGTAGTAAGCAGGGATCCTGCAAGTATATATATACATATAAAAGTAAATGAATGAAAGAATGGAAGAAAACGTACTGAAACGACATCATGATCATTGGTAGCCGTAGCCGTAGCCGTAGCCGTAGCCGTAGCAGTAGCAGTAAAACAAATAATTACTTACTTTTTCTCAAAGTCCTTTTTCCCCAATTCATCTTTAAACTGCAAGATATATTTTGCATCACTGAATCCATAGGCGAAATGTTCAATACCGCCGCCCCAACGAGAATACAAGTATGTGGCTCCTTGGTTCATGTTCGTCCACACAGCCATAGTAAAACTAGAGCTTCGAATATCAAAAGATGGTGTCTCGCCATATGAGCTTGCAGTGGCAGGTAGATTGAGGACAGTGGTTTTACCATCGACATCTTTTTTGTACTTGGAATCACCAAAAAGTCTGTTTAAAATAATAAGTTTTTAAGACAAATTGCAAGTTCTTTAGAAATTCCTAAGCTAGACCTCACAGGAGATCTTTGTAAAATCGTGGCTAAGATTTCAGATTTCAGATTTCAGATTTCAGATTTCAGATTTCAGATTTCTACGGAAGCCCTGGAGGGACATTCATACTTCGCACTTCGCACTTCTTATTTCACATATTTAAGTGGAAACTTCACACTTCATTCTTCACGCTTCACATTTCACACTTCATAATTCACACTTAAAATTTCAGTTATCAAAATTTACTTCGGACTTAGTGTGCATTTCAGAAAATCAGACAAGAAGCTAGAAAACCAACAGATATGGTAAGTCTATTTTTGCTAGGTAGGTCCATTTACTAGATATATGTAAGACTAAATTTTTTTGTTTTATTTTCTTTCTTTCTGTTTTTTTTTTAGGTCGTGATCAGGTGGTTCTTTATCATTTTCGTTGTATACGTTGTTGGCACCGCAGAGACACAAGTGTTGCCACGGTACACTTTTTCTCATCTCCAAGGTTATCAAAGAGAAGAAATTGGAAGAGATGACTTGATTGTCAACTATTTTAATCAAGGATATTCCTATAATGAAATAATTTTCACTTTATTAAGTGTTCCTTACATATGTGAAATAAGAAGTGCGAAGTGCGAAGTATGAATGTCCCTCCAGGGCTTCCGTA